TCGCAGCGATCAGTACGAAACGTCGACCGGGTGGTCAAAGACCTGCAGTCGCAGATCGAGCGCAAGGACAAACAGGCGGCTCAGCTTAACGACGACGCCACCCGGCTGCGCGACAAGGTCGAGAAACTGCTCGCGACGATCGACGAGCTCCAGGCCAGCGAGAGCTCGAACCAGCTGTCGGCGCGGCGCGCGGAGCGCGAGCTGCGCGAGGAGAAGGAGAAGACACTGAGGCTCGAGCGCGAGCTCGAGGGCTGGAAGCACCTGCGGATGGAGAAGGGCAGCGTCAACGGCAGTATACGGTTCGGCACGCCCGCGCTCGAGGGCGCCTCGAGGCGCATGAGCTCCTGGCGTAATAGCCCCGGCGCCGGCGCCGGCGCCAACGAGGTCGCGGACGAGACGGCTAGCCTGAGCGGCACGGGGATCGAGGTCCCGAAGCGGAAGAGCAGTGTTAAGAGGACACCTAGCCTGACGAAGGGGTTCTTGTGATGCGGTGGGGAAAGGAATGGGATGATAATTGACTGAAATGAAGGGATGAAAGAGATGCGGGGTCGGAGAATACGAATGTTGACGATAGGGGGTTGGATAGCGTAGGGAGGGGGAAGGGGGAAAGGGGGGGGGAGGGGTGACATTGTTTATAATTGATTGTGTATATGTTTATTTGGGGAAAGAGAGAGAGATAGAGAAAGAGGCGTTTCAAACTTGTTGTTCTGTGTTGTATAGCATTTACTTGAGAAGGGGTGGGGGAGGAGGATAAAGGAATGGGGGTGAAAGGGGAAGGGAAGGGGCTGGAGAAAAGCGTGCGGATAAATGATTATATTCTTGGGGTCTTGATGATTAATGGATACGAGGGAGCTTTTCTGTGATGGAAATGAATAGATTAATGTTAAGGACGTTGCAAGTCGAGACTTGTTGCTTTTTGTTTTCGTAAGTTGTCTCGATTCGTGGCGAGTTTTCGGTTTGTTCATGTTATGTGTTTAGAGAGATGTATAGTATAAGGTATACACTAGTCCATATTGCCGTGCTGTGGTTGAGGGTGGTTGGTGGATATCAATGGGTGTGTATCGATCGCGGTTTAACATGCACTCTGAAGTTCACTTGCCGCTCTGTTTGCCCGTTCTTATGTATTATTTATTGATCTATATGTCGTGTAAAAGCGACGCCGCTAATTGCATGTGGCAATTAAAGCTTATGTATATACTACGCGGCACTATAAGATGCTAGTTTTGACTTATGTGTTCGTTGATTATATGCACAATTTTTGTGTTTGCTATTTAGTTCTTGGGATTCATCTCTTCTTAGTTCCTACTTACATGTACGAACCTTATTTTGATTTCCTTTTATTACGTTCAAGATATACCGAAATCTACCTAGTTCATTTTGAATATATATAATTAATACTAGGCACGTAGATACCTCTCTCGAGACTTAATAGCACAAGTTTCCCTTCTTTGCCTATATTTTATATATGTATTAACAAATCTTTTAGTCACAACGTCGAAACAATTAATTAACTCTTCACATATAACTGGACTAAAAACCTCAACAACCCTCCCTCCCTCCTGAAGAGCAAAAAGCGAATCGCTGGACTCGCAAGGAATTGAACCCCGGACCTCTTCCAAGCTTCACGGTGGAAAACTATGCTTCATCTTCATGCCCAAGACCACGATGATGGACAAACGGATAGATCCTTCAGAGAAACTCTGTCACATGACAGGGCTTACAGCCCCACATACACATAGATAGGCTATTCTCCACTGTTAGCACCTAACTTAGTTCTCCATCAAGAATACAACAACATTCCCTGACAAACTCTCTCGGTGACCAATAGGTAGACTGAGTTTAACTCATGTCTTAGTGCGTTGAAACTCTGCGTCTAACGCCACAATACTCTTCTCTTTGAGATTTCTCAATGTGTTTCGGCCTCTGAAAACCCATTGGGTGGCCTTTGTCCTGTTGTCCAGAGGAACTCTCATCTGGTTTTCGCCAGTAATGTCCTCCCCACTGCCCATATCCAGGTACTCGCAATCAACGCCCGTGGCAACATAACCAACAGGCAGATCCGCTTCTCCATGACTGGAGACACCGAGCTCGTGGGCTTTGTCACATTCAAGTGAATTGCCTTGTCTGGATTGCCACACGGAATGACACCTGTAAGCGCTGCCATGGCCAGTTAGTCACAAGCTTGAAGGTTATCGGAGATAGATACTAGGGTTGGATTCAATGGTACTAACGTGCATAGGATGAGAGATTCCTCAGGCAATAGACTGTGTATATATAGGCAGCGGATTCCTGAACGACCTCATGACTGAGCTTAGACTCCTAAGTAGCCTGAGACCAAAGAGAATTATTAGTTGAATCTGAACTACAGTTTCAAGTCCAACATCCCTTACCACATGGAGAGAGGAAGAATCATACCACTAGACCACAAGCCCCTATTAGCTATGAATCGCGGATCGTCTGTTCTTGAACAGAACGAATCAGGTTGCTGGATCGATGGGAACTGGGTTTCTTATTGCGATAGAAAACAAAGCCCTTTTCCTATGTATACCGTTGTTGGGGCTAAACAAATCAAACGAAAGAAAAGGTGGTTGAATAAGGGATGGATCGAGTAAAGCTAGCTGCGTGCACCTGTTGAATTCGTGACTAAACGTGTCCTATCGGATAAACCCTGCGCCGGCCTACACTGTGTTCAATGATATGAGGTTGTGGACCTTCCGGCTGTGCCTACTTGGTTAATGTAAGTTGGCTCACTAAGGTACGAAACATTATTAATGTGATATTGATGGTTGAATGATTAATCTACAGGGGATATGACCCCGCGTTGTGTGTCACACGGATAAGTGCTGCCAAGCCTGCCAAGAGCTGTTGGTCATAAGCCTCATTTCAATAGGCTAGTGATAAGGACATAGGATGCAATGATACCAACCTGCAGTTGGAGGTAGTTGCCTCAGGACAATAACTACGTGTATAAATAGGTGTTGAATTCCTGACTGAGGTCAAGAAGAAACTTAGACTCCTAAGTCCTTGAAGACCAAAGAGAATTATTAGTTGAATATGAATCTCAGTTCCAAGCCCAGTACCCCTTGTCACATTGTGTATATAAGGGTCATCTCATCCCACATCCCCTCAAGTAGATAGTTACCTCCTCAGACAACTGAATACACCTCGTCTCACATCATTTGCTTTACTCCGTTTAGTTATTTGCTTTTACTTACGTACGTACCTACCAACAGATATATATAACTACAGTATACTATATGGCGACCAGTGCCTATAGCTGAGTTGGGTACAGAAGACTAATATACATGACTCTTTAAAACCTTTTAGATTAAAGTATTAGTTACCGCTGTATATATGTGTGATTATGGGCTGAAAATTCCAGACGGCAAAGGCACACTCCAGCATCATTATATCGAATTTGCCGAGATGTATAACGCAATCAGGTGACAGTTTAGAATCACACTGTGTATGAAGGATTTAAGCTAAGAGACGTTACAAGATGCAAGCCCCTGCTTTAAATAGTTACTTTAAGCTAGGTGGTATATTTTATCGGAGGGAGAGATGGCGTCGATGATTATATTTATAAACTAGGTAGTCAATGCTAAACGCGTACTTACGAAAAGAAACCCAATTACCCCCCGAAGAGTTGACTAAGAAGCTGAAATACAGATATGTTATACGGACTGGTTGGTGTCACGATTCAGGTCCCCTTTACGTATGGGTGAAAACGGCGTTGTTGCGGGAAGAGCTGGAACTAGCAGTACATTGATCAGTAGCCGTTTTATACCTATAGTCTGCTTCATCTCCCGAGTACCCTTGGATATCTTGATTCCACCACTGCAGCCTCCCTCTGGCATGAGTCACGATGATTATCGGCTGTGAGGCTCCTGGTAGCTGGTAATACGATAGTTACATGTGTCTTGGCTAATGATAATTGACTTGTGTATTACAGTTAGTTACTTTAGACCACGGAGAGCAGATGATAAAATCCTACGGGAGTTCTACAAAGTGGCTGTTCACGAAGATGACGGTGTAAGTTTAGCTCTAAAATTGCTTCTATAGAGTAGTGACGTCGGGAAGTTGGAAATATTAATATATCAACGTTGGACTACCAGAGATAAAACCTTGAACCCTTGGATATAGATGTATTTAAGATAAAAGTTACGATTGTTAGTGCTAGTTAATTTGTTTATATAATGTTTTATAAATGCCACCTTGTCAAAGAGATTAAATTAATTATTACACATACATTACCTATATATGGTATTAATAGTCTATAGGTGATTAAAGATAGAAACTTGAAGTGTGCGTGTATCTGCAGGTTTAATATTACTCTCGTCACCGCAAGCTCAGATGATGTTAAAAGTGAGTGTGTATATGCCATCTAGTGTCAAACAAATGTAGACATAAGCGGTTCTCACGCTGTAAATTTTATTTTTATTTTATTTTTCTTATTACAAGCCAATTGATCTTTATGTTGCTGATACTCTCAATAACAATTCTTTCCAACGACATTTGGTAATCGTAATATGCCGTATCATATAGCAACATCCATCTATATAAGGTGTCCGGCTACGCACATGATCTGAAGAAATACGTTCCCTTAATACAATGTGTCGCCTTATTCTCGCCATCCTAGGAGTATAGGATTCATTACCTTGTCATTGAAATTGGTGGGGAGTTTATCAACGAGGGTCGTTGTAGAGGACTTTTTATGTGGTATGTTACTTACAGTAGTCAGCTAGTGTAGCCACACTATATTTTTACAGGGTCTAGGCCGTTTCATTCCCCACATGGACCCACCACTGGGATATGTACCCCGCATACCCAGATGTATTTAATAGAGGGGTCCTTCCACCTTCGAGTTCACATATCCTCCTTCCCCAAGCTTGAAAATCGAGTCTTCCCTCTGATATCACCTGCGCTGCCGTGACATCTATATCCAAGTACCAGCCCAGTTTTCCAACAAAGTTGATGACGTCAACGTCTGAAAGGAATAAGGGCTTGTGGTCTAAAGGCATGACGCTTCTCTAGCATGGAAGAGGTTCGGGGTTCGATTCCCTGCAAGTCCAATATTTTTCCTTCTCGCAAATCCTAGATGTATATACCTTCGAGGGCTTAATTCGTTGCAAGTAAATACAACTGCTTATATACCTATATGTATAGGCACGTATGAAGACAGATAGACAAGACCGCCAATAAATTTACTCCTTTTTTTCATTTCTCCCTTTATATTTCTACGCATCTTTCCGAGACATGAATCTTATCCTTCAAGCTACTTGCTGCTTACCGGGGAAAAGACAGGGATATCTACATCCGTAACCGCTGTCCAGCCCTATATAAGTGGGCACGCCCAGATACATAAGCACCTAATCCGTAACCTAGTGACGTATAAAAAGTCCCACCCTTGGTATAACTTCGTGCGTACCTCAGAATTCCTCAAAGCTTTAAATCCGGACACTGCACCGGGTCGGGGTAAAACCTCCCACCCAACTTCTCCACCGCCTCACACCTCTCGTCCATACTCAACGCATTCCAGACGCACGCCAGCCCCTTCTCCGATGCCTCACCCACGCGCATCGTCACAACCCACACGCCCGCCCCGCCCCGCGGCCACGCGGCGACCACCAGCATCTTGCGATCCAGCCTCTCCGGGCTGAAGTACTGCGTGCTTTCGTACTCGTCCACGCTCGCGAACCACCACGCGCCCAGCCTCCTCATGCGAGCGCAGTGCCGGTCCTCCGCGGCGGGGTCTCCGGAGCGCTCCGCGGGGCCGAGGCGCGGGAGGTGCAGGAACGCGAGGTCGACGCCGTTGCAGAACGGCAGCACGAGCACGCCGCCGGACGACGGGTAGCCGTACACGCGCGTCGAGTGGGCGCCGAGGACGACGCGGCGCGTCTGCGGGCCCGAGACGTCCTGGTCGGCGTCGTCTTCGTGGGTGGGGTCGTAGTTTGGTGAGGGCCGCGCCTCGCGGGAAAAGGGCCAGAAGGGAAACATGATGTGAGGGTTGCGGGATATTGGTAATTCAGTGAGTAGTTTTGTGTTTACACGTACGTGGGAACGTGGTGCGCCGGTAAAAGGATCGCTGCGTTGGGGACTGGTTGCTATATCAAAACGCCAGCGACAGGCTGAGGGCGATGCCGGAAATAGAAATGCGAACGATACCTGTTGGTTTCATTTCATGTATTCAGTTTCAGCCACTTTCAGCCGAGGATGACCGACCCTAGACGCGCCACCGCCACCGCCACCTCCCTATGCAGAGCCCTCCTCTCCCCCTTTTTCTTTCCCTGCTCTTCTGCCTCACGCAACCTATCAAGTTTACTTATCTTTGACGCCCATTAGGCTGGTGGTCAGCATGACACTCAACCGACCCCAACACTGACCTTAGTGGTAGCACCAGACGGATCAGTCTAAATAATGATTCACTCGCTTCATCACCAGGGGCAGCACCCCTGATGCTTTCATGTTCCCACGCCGCTTGGCTACTGCTGGAGACCAGGCAAGAGACTGATGCATACGAACTCCTCTGTCTCTCGGCGGCAACCTTGGAACGATACATCCATCATACACAGATGTTTGTCGCTTGAGCTTCCTCAGTGTTATCAATTCACCATGCGGACCGGACACTCTGGCTATTAGGTATCCCCAATTCCTATGCGCTTTATAGGAGCAGTTTAGGCTTCTCGACACTGGCGGCTGAATGCTGCGAACGAATACGGCTTGAAATGTGCAAAATACAAAAGCGATCGCAGTAATTCTAGTGATGATGGTTTAGGTTACGTCGCACCAGTTTGAGAATGAAATTGATATAGTGGTGCCAATTTCGTCCCAAGTATCTGCAAGCTGTACCCTCCTCGTCCCGCTTGTTGAATTGCTTTCATGCAGACATATGGTTAAGTACCAACAGGATGCATCCTTTCAGCCTTGTACGATGCCTTCGAATAACTAGAAAGTACCTCGATAGGAGTATAAAATGGCTGTGAAGATGCTCCCTACCTACGTTGAGTTCACCACACCTATCGTTTTCCCTCTCTTGAATTATTCTCGATCGTTCTAATCTCGATCATTTTGTCGTCGAGATGACTCGTACTCTCCTTTCTTTCCTTTTCGTGACTGTCCCGTCCCTCTGGATCCAAATAGCTTTTTGTGTATCTATTCCTCATGGCCTTCGGAATTCCTTCGCCATCAGGCAAGACAACATTACCACGGTAATGACCAACGTCACTTCCGACCATCAACCTGTGTCGGTCGACATCCATATCACGCAGGCTATCTCCTACTTCAAGAATGCTCTAGAGGCTGAGGGGATGACCTATGACGGAGATATTGGGACCGCGGCCACCCGTCTCGTTCGCTACGATGGCTGTGACAACTGGGATGGTAATGAGATCTATAAAGGCTGGCTCCAATCGTGGAAGATCATGAACCAGATTCTCGAAGAGGCCGATAACATTAACTGGAACGAAGCCTCTGCTGTCGAATACCTAGGACCGCCCGCCCTGAACGTAGGTGTTCAGACCAGGATCAAGGGTTAGTATACTACACGCCTTTATACATACCTATAACTCGCCTAACACCCGTCTCAGACCTGTACAAGAAATGGGCCACTATTCAGCCAGGATATATTCCCACTCCTTTCGATTGGCGTCTTCACGTCCGCTGCGACGATCCAAGGAGGAAGTGCAAGAATGCTTGCGATCCTAATCCCGCCAACCGTGGCCCATACGCATACACGACCAACAAGGACGCCGACTCTGGTCTCGCACGCATAAACTTCTGTCCGCGCTACTTCCAAACTCTCAATCTGAATGATGCCATTGACAATGGCAATGACCCCGGAATGGGACCGGAATGGCAATATGATGTCGGAAGTTACATGATGAACAAAGGCCATGTGTGGGCGCATGAGCTCATGCATGTCGACTGGACCGTCAACGCCGAATCCTACGGCGACAATAGACACATCTCGGACCTACGCATGACAGCACGGGGGGTGGGTGGCCACTCCATTACCGTGAAAGCGTACGGCCCGCAGCCCGTGAAAGCCCTGGCACGCTATGCCGTTGATACGGGCGAATGGGTCATGCGCAACGCCGACTCCCTCGCGCTCTACGCCTCGGTCCGCTACATCCAAAGCAGGCTCGGCAACATCTACCCGCATTTACCGCTCGCGCCCGCTGCCCCGAGCAGCGTGTGGGACCCGAACAACCGCGACAGCGACAGCGTCGAGACTCGCTCGTCCGATAACGCGAGTCTCGCGGCCTGGGATCTTTACGGCAACGGCTCCGTCGCGCTGCCGGCCGTCAACAACTTCTACAGCTATTCCCACGATCCCAAATGCCCGACCGCGTACTCGGCGAGCAACGGGACGGCCCCCGGTGACGACGTGCACGACGAGGACGCCGAGGACAACCCGGATTACACGTTCAACTTCGATACCTTCGCCTCCGCGGATGATCTGGGTGAGGATTATTCGGACCAGCTGAATGACTGGTGGCGCGACCTCTACCAGGAGAGCGGCGGTGTGTGCGTCGTTCCGAGTGGCTGCTATAACGCGGTTCCTAGCGGTTGCGCCGTTGTCTGCGCTTGATATGCAAAATTCGATGGATAAAAAGAAGTGAGGGAAAGACGTTGCGTAGTTCTTCATCATGATTTGAATGAGGCCTGGGGTTCAATTCCCTGTAAGTCAAATAATTTATTATTTCTTTTCGCATATATGCATAAGTAGATACGATAGGTTGACCTTACGGTCTAGCCAATTAGGTATATATTTGCTCTTCGCTTTGCTTCATTCTCACTTTAGCTATATGAGGTACATTACTTAGCTATTGATATGTTTTGATTAATGATTATTATTAACATGGGCTGCTAGGACATTTTAAATTTGTGCATTTTCTTTAATTCCGCTGCATCTTTTCGACACATCATTCTGATCCTGTCAGTCTTACTGATGAATAGTGAAAACCCAATAATTCGGGTGACCCCTGCAACACCCACCGCCAAGTGTCGTCCTAAGCTGCTAAGGTAGCACTACACACGGAATACTACGCGCACAGCGATGCAATGACCGAAAGGGGAACATGGAATCAACTCTGATTGGCTATGTTGAACGAGGCATCACCGTAGCTGAAAACGGACTATCAATCAAGTAACCAATCTCAAATGGGGACCTCATGAACAAGGTTACTATATTGATTCCTCAGCGGTGCTTAGCTGCTAGCTATATGGGCATGCCCATGATCAAGCCCATTCGCCAAAAACCCACTCGCATTAAACACCCTTCGTTCTGCTACGAACTTCTTCAGCGTGTCGAAGTCTCGGCACTGTCGCTGAAACCCGCTGCCGAGGAAGCCATGTTCCTCATCAACGGCGGGTTCGACGGTGGTGTCGACCGAGCACGTCAGTCCCTGTCGGAGATAGTCGAAGCAGTGCGCGACGTGAACGGCGCGGTCCTTGCCAAAGTCAAACTCCTCCAGGTCGTCCGACCGTGAATAGTAGGCGCGCCTTATCAGGTACAGGCAGTGTAGCTGGTGGAATGCCGTGGGTATCGAGACCTGCGGCGCAAGACGCTGATCTTTGAAATACCCGAGCCCGTCTTACCACGTTTGAAATTATCAGCGAGTCGACGAGACGGCGTGTCGATGTTGCATCATGATAAAAACTTACCCGGTATTAATGCATCCCAAATCGGCTCTGATTCTTTGCCCGACCCCTCGCCTTGGGGAGGTTCTTGCGAAAAGGGCGAGGAGTAGACGAATTCTCGCTGGACCGTCGGAAGGGGTATCTGCGGTGCCGTCTTGCTTCCCTCAAGGTAGGCGATGCCGCGCGTAGAGAGCGCTCCGGCGGCAAAGCTTAGCACTGATGTGAGGACGAAGGCGAGAACGAGTAGCAGGTTGCAAATTTGCCTTAATATTATTGAATCTTTTGACGTGTTTCTCGGCCTCTCACTGAGCGGTCCCTCAATATCTCTACTAGATCTTCCGCTGTTCGTAAGTGGTTCGTAGGCATGTTGGCTATCATCGCTGCTAGATACTAGAAACATGGCTTCGAATGCACACCTAGGACTCAGCAG